ATTGACTATAGCTCTAGTGTGCAGTGCAATCATCAGGAATGCGTAAAGGGTGAGCTAGCGAGCTAGTTGCAAGTAAAGTGGAGGGAGATGATGTGTTCACTTTTATATACTATGTATATAGTCCGTCAGTGTTGCGTGTATAATTGTACATACCTTCAACAGTGATGAGACTACCATTAGTGACCTGTCCACTCCCTGAATATGTCATCAATGCATACTCTGCTCCCTATATAATATGAGGGTCTAAAGCATGATTGTAGGTTTGATTGTGTGAGAGAGAAAGATTAGAGACGAGATTGAGAGGAAGAAGAGAAGGAGGGGGGAGGTATATAGGAGGAGTGAAGGAGGGGGAGGAGAAGGGGGAGGCAGCAATGGAGAGGAAAGAGAGCAAGGCAGCAATGGAGAGGAAAGAGAGCGAGGCAGAAGGGGGGAGAGGAGGAGGAGAGAGCGTTTTACCTCAAGGAAGATCCAGTCAAAGTCAACACCAGTGACTGAGGCAGTGAAAGTAGAAGGATTCACCTGACTATACACTGGGACCTATGTACCATGTGAACGAGGACAGATTGAGGTAACCCCTAGTCATTATGGGAAATTAAGGACTCACTGTAAAGTGTTGTTTCTCTGGCTCATAACCGTTTTCTTCCAGAACCTTAATCACATACTCTGTGGAAATGTGTGTGTGTAAGAAATTGGGCACAATTGTACACATCATAAGCATGCTGACACCCAGCCCCAGACACATGATCCATAAGTGAAGTGCAAACCTTTCACAGCTAGAGAACAGTGGCATCATGAGTTTGTGAGTGAAGTAAAGTGCTATCTTGTTGACTGGAATTGCACACAGTGGGGTAACATGCATGTGTGAAAATCATGAAATGTGTGAATGGTTCAAATGGGAAGCTTTATATCGATTTACATACACTGTATATACATAGTAGTGGGGAAATGCTGAATGTATGTATAATTATACACACTCAATGTACGTGATGCTGCAACCTTGCAAACAAATGCAAGCAAGTAAAAGAACACGACAGCTCTCCGTATTACCAAGTCGCGTTTGACAATTTATGGTGAGTAACAGATGTTGAACCGAAGAAGAAGAAGATCAAGAAGAGAAAAAAGAATAAGTAGTGCAAAATGAACAAAAATCCTTGTATAGGAAACTTAGTGAGCACACAATTCAGATTACTAAGTGAGCTAGTATATTTCCACCAGCCATCAGGCTCACCTGCAGACTGGTTGTATCCATACTGAACTGCACGACTACGTTGGGGGCAGACAAATCAGGTCTGATACATTTTCATTAATCTACCTGCGCAATAATCTACCTGTGTTGGGTAGTCTGGTCAGCAATCGATTGGAGCTCCTAAAATGAAAAGATTTTCGTAACGAAATATGACAAAAAGTCCAGTTGCACCGTGCATAGTATGCTGAGCTACACAGCTCACTCTGAGGTGTGTCATAAGGTTGCTGGTCTTGATCCCATCCACCAGTCTTTCGGTAGAGCTACTGCTGCTACTGCTGCTCTTCCTGCCCAGGCCTACCCCTAGCCCCACCCCCAGACCGCCAGCTATCCCCAGGAGAAGAGCCAGGAGGACACACCCCATCACCCATCCTCTGCTTGTACTCCTTCTCTGTCTCCTGGAGTTTATTACGTAGCAATGAGCAATACTGAGTAATCCACTACAACAGGAGGAAAGAATCTTCAAAACAAGAACACCTCACTATGTAGACACTTCTGTCCGATTTGGTGTTTGGGATTAGAGAGGTTCGTATAGTGTACATATCAGCTAGCTAGGCTTGTCGTCTTGCACTTACCCTCTGACGCTGACTAGAGGCTGAGATTCAGTTTGGTTGTCCTGCATGAGGGATGGAGAAGAGTATACCACGTGCGTGGGCTCGTAGCTACTACACTGTATCCACCACGCGCATTGCATGCATCAGAATGCATTGCTGACCTTCACGCTCTCCAGGCCCATGGCTGCAGGTTGGGATATCTACTGCACAGCTGCTATCCACTAGAGTTGAACTATAGCAGCCAAGTCTCTCTGGTATAATCTGTGCGCAGGGCAGCAATAACACAGCTTGCTTGCTGCTGCTCAAACGACGTTAAACACAGGTGACCTGGGGGGCGGGGCATGTTGCCGACGACACGCGCATGCGCATAGCCAGCACGGATCAAAGACACTGCGGCGCGTGCAGGGTCGAGCAGAAACGAAAGCACAGTCAGAGACAGTATTATACAACACTTCTCTTCGGTGGGTTTTATAAGTCGAAACGTGTCCACAAACAAGACACTGCCGTTATGCGCTGCTCGACAGAAGAGCAGGAGAGACATCAGTCGGTTGCCATGGAGGCGGAGCTGCTAGCGGTGGAGACAAGGCTGAGCGGACGTCCTGCACAGGAGATCAACGACACCACGGCTCTCACAGGAGAACAGCAGTCTACGCTGGACAAACACAAGGTCCGTATATCCTCCACAGCTTCAACTTTGCCTCTGCATGTCTAAACTGGCAAAATTTTCAGCTGCACTAGCTAGTTGAGCCCCTCCCCTGTCTGGTGTGCAGGTCACACTGAGGATAGAGAACGAGCTGTTTCTCAGAAGACACCCGGAATTGCACACTCTACTGTCTTCATTTGTCAGGTTTGGGAGTCTATCTTGTAATGCGTGGATGACATGAAGTGACTGCATCTGCGTACTTTATGTTGCAGTGAAGTGTTGCTGAAGAAGCCACAGAACATCAAAGAATTTGCAGCAGGTGTAGATAGACAATAGTGGCACACATTTCAACCAATGTGGCAGATTGTTCCCAGGATGTTTTTTTGAAAAATGCACCCTCCCCCCAAATTTGCCCAACATAGTGTGAAAGAACGAGGTTATTTATAATAATTCAGTGGATAAAGAACTCATTTCCACTGCCTACCATCTGTAGTTCTCCCATATACAGCATGGTGGTAGTGTATATACTTAAAGCAAGAAGTGGTGTGTTCGAATCCCACTGGTAGAGCTGATTTTTCTTCTCTTTCCTTTCTTCCTCTCTTTCTGACCTATGCACTCTTCACCATTCTTTCAGTTTGTACACCAGGCGTGATATCAGGAGCGAGATGCGCAGTAGGCAACCCGTGAAAAAGCTATCTGTGCCAGCACTTACACTCTTACATAACTCTCCCACAAAAGTGGCCCAGCCTTAGCAAGGCTATGAATTTGTGATTGTGTGTGCATGAGCAATGTGTGCACAGATCAGTGTGCTGTTTTTCTCTCGCCCAGGCTACTTCAGTGACCCAAGTATGCTGCGACAGAGGCACAGTCCAGAGGCAGACAACTCTCAGAATACAGAATCATGACCTCTAGTCAACATGTCGTCTCTTTGTGCCCACTGGACATCATATCCAACGTTATGCTACAGATCTAGAATTGAGGCACTTACAACTAACATGTATCAAACCGACAGTGTGCCCACTATTGCTCTATCTAAAGATCATGAGGCAGAGAATAGCTAATGTGGCGAGGAAATACGAACACCATCCTTGAATTTGATCCCACTAGTGTGTCCGTATACTCAAAGGTAGAACATACATTCCATTCCTAGTGTATTATAGGCATGTACATAGTAGTACACACAACCCTATGAGGCGTGTCAGCATACATTGTCATGGGTGAGATAGGGATGGGCATTAAGTGTATTCATCAGCTCGGGAATGTAGGGGACGCATCCCTGACCTATGAATATTGTTACAAGGACACCTAGTCCCACCCTACATAGGCTAGACTTACACACCCCACACATGCATGCATGCACCTCTTTTGGTCACTTGAGAGGTTTGTATACTATATAATTATGCAAAACATTTTGGCGCAGCTTTTGCGTCTTTCGTGCGTATTTAGAACATTTTAATGGGCAGCAGCAGTGTGGGTCACAAATATAAAAAAAACTTCATTCACACGACTAGGTGGGCTTGCTGCAAGTGAAGGGCAAAGAAAAACCCAACAACAATTTTAACATCATAGCGACCTGTAGAATGTATTAGGGGTATAAGTATTATGTCCATTACAGTTAACTAGAAAATGAGAGGTGGTCACATCTCTGCATCGTGCCTACTGCGCAGGTGCCTCTTGAGGTATCTGAGGGACATGAAGACCTTCCCACACAGCTGGCACTGATGGGGCACCTGTTGGTGGAGGACGTAGTGCTGCTGGAGGTAGTAGCGGCGCAGGAACATTCGGCCGCACCACTCACACTTGTACTGGGGGACCGCCCCTGTCTTTCCCTTCTGATGATTGTGTGGGTTCCGGTACGGCATGCCACTGCTCCTCCTCTTTGTCTGCACACCACACGACTGACTGAAGCTGTACCTAAACTCCTCCTCGTCCTCCTCTTCCTCAGTTTCTTCCGATGAATCATCAGTGTCCAAACGAAGGGGGCTCATTGTGTCTTCCCCATCTGAAGATTCCTCCTCTTCCTTCTCCTTTACATTCACTTGCGACTCCTCAACCCCCAAAAAATCTCTCTCTCCACTCCCCTTCCCCTCCACTGTCTCCATTACCTCGTCCATGCTCTCTTCGGTGGTACCAGCTCCACTGTTGCTTACATCTCCCATCTCTCCCTCCGTCACAGTTTCCTCTCCATAACCCCTCTCATTATCCGAGTCAGAGTCACTATCGAGTTCCAAATCGAGGTCAAGCATACCTGAGAAGACACCCGGTAGATGGCCTTTCTTTGGTTGCTGCTCCACTGGCAATATCTCCCTGACCTCACTCTCAGTACCGTCGCCGTTTCTCCTCACGACCTCTCCTTTCTCAACAGTCAGAGGGTACTTGCTGGGTGTCTTCTTGGGAGGGAAGTGAACTGAGAGGTGCCGCGTGAGCCCGGAGAGAGAGCGACATGCTTTCGGGCAGTACTTGCACACGTATCTGGCCTGCTGCGACAGCTGGTTGGCCAGCACATCCTTGATACGATGTTGCATAACGTGCTTCTCGAAGCGTTCGGAGCGACCGATCTTCTTCCCGCAGTACGGACAGGGGAGCCGTTGGGATGGAGAGTGGATCTGCATGTGTATGGAGCAGTGGGCTTGTTTGAGGAACCGCATCCCGCACACGGAGCAAGCAATCTGCCTGTTAGAGTCGTGGATGGTGAGATGCTCTCTGAGGCCTCGCAGAGTGGAGAAGGTTCGGTCGCAAACTTTACACTTGAGCACTCTCTCGTGCTCGTTCTCGGGGGAGGACGATGACACCGACGCAGTGCTGGATACGCTACCCCCACACACCCTGCGACGTGACGAGCTCGAAACAACACCCTGACTTGGACTGATGATCGCCCAGTGGCCCAGCTCGTGGTTGAGCCGGTGATGAGGCTGCGTGAATGACTTGTCGCACAGCGAGCACTTAAACGGTCGCTCCCCAGTGTGGAGCAGGTTGTGTCGCTTGAGCGAAGAATTGGACGAGAGAGAACGGTGGCAAATGGAGCACTGGTATCGAGTCGAGGTCTTCTTACTTTTTAATGGCAGGGACATCCCCACAGGGCCGCAGAGCTTATTAGAAAGGTCGGGGGACTCAGGCAAACCAAGGCTATCGAGACGGACAATCCTGGATTTAGTTGGCAGACGTCGAGGGGAGGTTTTGGAAGGCGAGACCGACTTCCCCTTTCTTTCTTTTACGTCCAACTCCACGCTCTTCAGTTTCTCTGGTGTTGTTTTCTTACTCGCGGAAGGACCATCGTTTCCTCTCTTGACTGAACTGCCAAAAATTGGCTGCCGCTTATTGTATTGCTGCAGTGTTCCTGGAAAACTGGAGGCTCCCTTGGTCAGATTGATGACAGGCCTTCTCATGAGACTCCCTGAACATAATCTGAGAGGGACCTTCACTATCAGAGAGCTGCAGGTCTCCTCTTCTCCATCTCCACCAACACCACAGAGTTGTTGTCCATGGCCCCTGGTCTCTTCCTCCCCTGCTGCAGATTGAGATGGGATGTTGATCACTGCAACCGCACCTCCTCCCACTGGCTCTGAACAAACAGATATGGAGATAGCAATAGCTACTAATACCGCCCCCTTGAAGAGGTATCTACACCTAACGGCAGTCAACCTTTGGAAAAGGGGCGAAACGTGGAGGGCTGTGCCCAATCTCGTTTCAGCAGCTGAGGGCTGGTTGACGGAGACGCACCAAGAGTCGCTGCAGTTGACGAAACGCCGTTTCCGTCGTCGGTGCAGTTCCGTCCGTCAGTCAGTAGGTCTACGAGTCGAACAGGCTTGCTCCCGCAGTCCGGTTCTATCGGATGTGGTTTCTCCGCAACTAAAACTCTTTTTCCTTGCTGCGGCGCCGTCGGAGACAGCGGGGGCTTCGGCTCCGGTGGTTTAGACCTGCGACTAGAACTCCTCCTGGCGCCCGACCAGCTCCGCGTCTCGGCCCTCCGCCCTGCCGATGATGAAGCCTCGTGCATCTTCTCCGAGTAGTTGAAGACGAGATCCAGGACGTCCAGCTCGTCCTGGGCGTGCATCCTGATGTGGGCCTCGTAGCTGGCCATCCGGTTGAAGGCCTTGGCACACTCGTCGCACTTGTAGAAGCCTCCGTTCCGGCCGTCCATCGCTGCTTCGCTTCTACTACTGGTGGCCATCCCGTTCTCTCTCTCCCTCTGATCTATCTCGCGAAAGTTCGGTCTCGCTATACAGTACAGCTGCTAGTATGTACCCTGCGCATGCGTAGCTATGTAGTAAGTAACAAAAGGGGGCGTAGCGCGCACGCGACACACACACCCAGGACTAACAACAAGCTGTAGAGTTATGCATTGTGAAAAATTGATATCACCAATGGAGTTCTAAAAAAACTGCTACAACATGAAGTATCTGATAGGAGGTCCAGGCACATCTTCGTCCGTGTCGTTTGTGAATGACACAGTGAGATCGACGTACGGTTTGTTCCCTGCCTTCAGGAGTTGTACCATCCTGCGCGAGAAATCGGCGGGATATTGCGAGTCACTCCCCTAATCTGGGGTTACTACACACACATACTCACAAACTTATGTTTTGCTAGGGGGGGGAAGAGGGGGAAAATTTTTCTTGTTTTCCCAAGAATCCAGCAGTACATGTACATGTAAATGTGCCCCTAGGTCTTGATGATACGCTTTTGCCCCTCAAATATTTTCTAGAAAAAACTTGAAGCACCACCTGTCTGCAATTACAAAGGTGTTGTGTCCCACCCTCCTATCTTAACTGCTGTGAATGTTATTACTCGACGTGTAACACCCCCAAATTTCGTATTTTCGTAACACCAAATGCACGCAGTAGGAACAGCTCACACTTGCAGAAGAAAGAAAGGACTGCCGTATTATAAATTGCCGGGCATGCGAATTTTTTCTAGCAAATTTGCCCCTTCACTCTTCACTAAGTAATCCTCCAAAGACTATTTATACTATACACCAAACAGTACATACAATTGCACACATAGCTTACGTCTGTGGTAGACGTTTTCTGTGGCCTGGCATGATGGGAACGAAGATCATTCTGGTTCCCAGGACCACCATAGCGGGTTCCAGTCCACACGACTCCTGACACAGCAAATACACAGTGATAAACCACAGCTATCTGCCTAGGACTTAGCTTCTGGCAAATTATGCCTACATAGGCCCATAAATGCTGTACCACACTTGGAATGTGATACGGGCTAAATGTTATGGAATAGTTGTCAGACTATATTAAATTAGAGAAGCTTGCTCACCCTCACAGCCTTGAGGAAGTCAGCCAGTTTGAAATCCTTCCTTCCTCTCACCTCCCAGTGATCCCATAGAGTAAAACTGAGGCC